TCATGAATTTCTCATACTATAATAACCAACTTTAATCATTATAGTTTATTCAAAAATACAATATCATATTAGCTACATCTTGTTATGATATTTTCTTTCCTACATAATCATTATCTAAGACAACATAATTGACATTAGTGAATCTCCCTTTTCCAATTATGTGGTCCTCTAGGCTTCCACCCCCATAAAGACTAGATTTATGTAGCTTAATGACAGGGTGAAGAAAATAGATTCATGAACAAAAGATTCACTATTCTATCAACGTGACCACAAGCAGCAAGTACGTATTCTCATTGGACCACAATTATTCAAGTTGCAGCTATAACATCTCCACAGGATGTACGAGTTGTCCATGGCATTCAATAAGAATGCGAGAAAGTTCCATACATGTCATTTGATCTGCCAATCACCAATACCCTCTTACCCATTTTTTACTAACTTGGTAATAAAAAGATTTTTACCCCATGAATAGGTATGTAAAATTTGATGGGTTCAACTCAAAATCTTGTAAGAAAAGTTTATGAAATTATATAGAAAGATTTTTAGTTAGACCGGTATCGTACAGGCCCATTAGGTAAGATATGATCTTGGTTAATTTTTTCTCTAGATGTTCATCTAAAAATCCGGAGAAAACTAGTATATATACATTAAAATGTGTGAGGAAGTGAAAGAGAAAGGCTTACTCAGGAGCATGGTAACCAAAAGTTCCCAAGACTCTGGTAGAATGCAATCGAGCTGCCGTGTCAGAAGACTGGTTTGTCAAGTTGAAATCTGCAATTTTCGCCATGAAATCATCGAAGAGCAGTACATTGCTTGATCTCACATCGCGATGAACTATCGGCGGCTGAACCTTCTCGTGCAGATACTCCAGCCCTTTGGCCGCACCATAAGCAATTTTAACTCTCTGGTTCCAGCTGAGTACTGGACCCGGCTCCGCCCCTTGTACACCTTTCCTCCCTGTAATTTCATCGAACACCATCGACTCAAAAATGAAATTCAAGGAGAAAAAAAAAAAGCAGAGGGCATGGATGATCAACGAGGAAAATTAGAATTACCATGCAATACATCATGTAAAGATCCAAGTGTGGCAAACTGGTATACCAAAATTCTATTATTGGCTTCCAAACAGTATCCCATTAGCTCAACGAAATGCTCGTGTTTAAGCCTCGAAACGATTGATAACTGTAAAGCAGGTGATCAGGAATTGTTGGGTCGTGGAGTTTTTAACTTTGTTAGAAAATTTAGGGAGAAAATTAACCTGCGTAGCGAAGTCGGAGTCGGGCTCTGAAGAACTGGTGTCTAGTTTCTTGATGGCGGCCGCCGCGCCGTTGAACTGGCCGTAGAAAACTCGGCCGTAAGAGCCTTCTCCGATCAACGCCTTGGAACCGAAATTGGATGTAATCCGATTTAATTCATCTAATGGAACAACTGGGATTTCGATGGGTAAAACCTTTTGTGGAGCTCCAGATTTCACCACATTCGAACTCCTTGGCTCTCCCCTCTCGCTGCCTATCACGCCATAACCAAACACGATAAGAAAACGACACTGTTTCAAAAGACTTGGACGAGTTTTCAAGGATCGAAATGCAATTTTTTTTAAAAAAAATTTATTACCGCCATTGTACGGATTTCCTGCCTTGGGAGGGGCTGTATACTGGTTAGAAGGGGGGCCGTTGGTTTCCTCCTCGGCACCTCCGCAGCAGAACATATTTCAAACCCTGAACACCCAAACCTCAAACGTCCATGCGACGAATGGATCCTCTCAAAAACTTCAATCCAACACCCCAATCCTCTGCAATTCCAAAATCATCAAACATCAACAGACCCAAGTCACGAAAGAGAAATGTGTGGAATCCAAAACTCGTTCGAGAATCGAAAATAATAATTCCCTGCGTCTCCAACAATACCAAATCAAAAAAAGGAGACGGATGCAAACAAATTCTATCGAGAGAAACCCCAAAGGGAAAACACAACGGTTTCGAATTACCTGATGGATTAAATAATTAACGGCTTGCCATGATTAATGAAGACAGAGGAAGACCTAAAAAGCGCGTGATCCGATCAGACAGCAACAAGGATAAGAGGAGATCGAGAATTGAAAACTGATAAACAGGAAAAAAAAAAAAAAACAAAAACAAAATTAATAGGAAGAGGAAGGGAAAGAAAGAAAAAGAGAGAAGAAAAACAGAGAAAAAAAAACAGTAATGTTGTTTAATCTCTGTTTTAGCTCTCGGTTCTTTCTCTGAGTCAGAAAGGAAGGAGGAAGGGAAGAGGAGCAGAGGGCGGCATGTGTTGTTTCTGTTTCGCGGGAAATTCGGTTCCTTTAATAACCAACTCGTCTCTGTACGTGCATTCACGTTTGCACTCCTTTCTTGCCTTCGATTTCTTTACGAGGGGTATTTTTGTAATTAGGTGCGATCATCCGACGGTTGAGATTGTTCCTGATTGGGTTTAATTGGTGTTCGTGGGGCCAAGTGAATCATCAAACCGTCCGTTGTTGTTCTCGTTGATCATTCCTTTATATATGATCAGCCATGCATGCATGTCTGTCGCCACCTTGCTTTTTTTTTTTTTTTTAAGCTCAAGATTATGCATGGCGACGACTACCATTTGAGAATTTCTTTTCATTATAAACAAATTTTTTTTACAAAAAAAAATTATATATTTTATTAATTAATTATACGAGGTATATAAACTAATTATAATTTATTTGGACCCATCTTATTTATATAGAACGAAAAATAATTAAAACCTAAAAAAAAAAAAAAAAAAAAATTTAAGAGAACAATTGAGTATATAGAAGTTGTTGAAATTATATTTTGTCCCTTTAGATAAAACTCGTTATTTATTTATTTTTATTAATAAAATAATAATAATAATGTTTTAATTTGCATAGAAATGGGTTTTGTATATATGTATGATGTGTGTGTATGAAGACAAGACAACATGGTATGACACGGGAAGTCCGACCAGACAGAGACATTGGCTGGCCTGCCTTTCTCATCTACCAAACTCTCCAAGAATTTCTCTTCACTCATGTTCAATGTTAGAAACTCAATTTTTAATTTTTCAGATTCAAGTTGTAATTATACCAAAATACCAAAGACTTTATATATATAATTACCCTTATTTTTCTTCTTATCTACCATATATATACATATATATATAGAGAGAGAGAGAGAGAGAGGTATGTATCAGAGAAACCAATTGGGGAAAAAAAAGAAGAAGAAAATCAGATGCAAACCAAAATAAATGGCAGAAGAAACTGGAAATTTTCCATTTACACAAGCATTTTCAGGAGTGGTAAAATGAGAGCTCCCTACAAATTTGTTCCACTTCCTGCCACACAATGCACTGAATACAGGAAAGGCTCAGGCCAATCTGAAACCTGCCGTAGCCAACATAAATGGCTGCTGCAGCACTAATCTTTCAGCAATCAAATCACAAATCATTCATTTTCCTACACTAAATTTCAACCATCCGATAGCCAGTGCTAAGCTGACACATACATAGGAAACCCAGCCTCGGCTTTTGCAGTACATTATGCGAACAAATGAAGGAAAATCAAAGCCAGAAAAACAGTTAAAGTTCCACCCTTCACCGATTAGATGCGTCTTCGAATACTATACATATCGCCTTCGAATTTCTCCAGTCTCATTCTTCCTTCCATATTCGACCGGTAACTCTTAACTTCAGCTCTTGCCTATCTCCACCGGAGAAGTAGAGAGCCAAATTCCTTTGGATAATCAACCCGTCCTGGCTATCACGAACCTTTCTATGGCTGTCACGGATGCTCCTCGGAGTTCCTTGCCAGATTAGCTTGCGGCCATTGGCACCAACTTCTAAACTGTAGCTGAACTTCTTTGCCTCATTATCATCACCCATAAAACGTAAGAAAGCCATGTAGACCGGTGCCATGCCAAGCTGGAAAGCCTCAAAGTGCAGGCAGAACTGTCTTCCAAAACAGTTAAATACCTATGCAGATTCCAAAATGGAAGATGAAAATTAATACGATTTTGAACACAAAGATTAAAATTTTCCAGAAAGAACCAATGCTTACAAAGACAATGCATTGATTTTAATTTCATATATATCTGCAGATGAATCCAAAGGGAAAATGGCTTAACACTTCATTTTGCTACTTGCCAATTTTAATGGGGCACATCCAAGGAATATCTAAGAATTAGAAATTTAGGACCCTAGAACTAGAACTCCCAACATAGGAGTTATGCCATTTAAGCAAAGTGGCAAAGACGGGAAATTACTCACCATTGTAAGAAATATCTAGAATCATATTTGCAGAATTCACATCAGAGGGATTTACCACTGCCAATGAGCACCTAAGGAGTTTAAATGTGATTCAACTTCAACATCATGTGACCACAATATCCTTCCCATCTCTCAAAAAAAAAAAAACAAAAAGACAAAAAAAAAACAAAAATATTAGGACCATATCTCATAACTGTTTGACCTTTTCTTTTATCATGATAGGTTTGGTAAATTATGCTTAAAGTTTTCAAAACAAACAGGTGGTAATAGAATTACCATATCTTCCTTTTTTTTTTTTGTTGGAGAAATACACATCGTGAAAAAACTAAATCTGATATTAGCCCGATGTGACTACTCTAACTAAGGAAGCTTGACCACCATAGAATATTTTTTTTGTTAGAATCGTAATGGTTCACTGAGATGAAATCTTGATCACCGTAACTCCATCAACATACTAATAACCTAATACCCTAGACCCACAGACACAAGCATTATGAGTCGGCAACCAACAATTTATATATGCTCATAAAATGACAAAATTTATATCATTAGTGAGGTTTGGACTTATGGCCTGTGAGCGACACATTTAGAATTTTAACCACTACATCACCATACAAGCAGTAGAATAACAGTATCTTACTAACCAAAGTAATTGACTAGCCAACTTCTTCATAACCAGTGTGTGTGTGTGTGGCTAAGAAAAAATTATCGCAGATTAAACTTACAGTAAGCATCCATGTGGCATTTTCAACTTCATGAGGATTTGATTTGACATAACGGTGATTGAAGGTGCAGCCATCGTGCATATCAACTTTATGATCATCCTTAAGATGAGATACAAGGGCTGGAATGTCACCAGTGACAGAACATTCAGACCCAGCATAAGGGCAGTTGTATGGTCGGAATCGACAGTGTTGCTCATGCTTGAGCTTGCTGTAGTATGGAAAAATATCATGACAACTTAAGTTCTGATATCTGCAAGGAAGTTCCAAGGATTCTGCAACTTTTTCCAAAGCCAAACACCGTATATTTCCAAGATCATAGCGACACGTGGGGCAGCAATTGTGCACTCTAATCTTGCAGTTTGAACATAAAGTGTGGCCATTTGGGCACTAAAACATACAAGATTAGACAAAAATATTCAAATATTTAATATTGACATAAAAGTTATAATGCACAGCCTTAGAAAGATATAAATAACATAATAAAGAAGATCAAATGAAATAATGTTCCAGATTTAAAATGTAAACGTGGAGGTCAATTGAAAGATTGGAGACAACAGAAAACATATGGTGAAGCAATTAAGTGGTACAATCAAAGTTCAAGAACTTCCTTCCTGGCTGAAACTACTATGAACCAATCAGTGGAATGAGAAGTCATCCTAATACAGCAATTACATCTTTTCAAACTCCTCTATATGTTTCCCTAGACCCTTTTGAGAATAATGTGACAGAAGTTCTACATATGCTTCTGATTTAACAAAAAGAATTTAAAAAACTACAAATGCTCTTCAAATCTCTCTCTTTTTAGGGAAAAAGAAACAACTGCTCCAGCAGCTTATGCTTCTTGTGACTGTATGAAGCAATCACTTTCACAGGATGGGCAGATTGTGAAATTTTGGGAGAATATTTTGGTGTGAAGAGCAGCCATGAAAGACATGCTTCCCAAACATCTATGCCATTGCTAGATCTGAAGATGTTAAGATAGGGAAGTCTCTCATGGAGAATGTCGAGGCATATGCTTGCCTCTATGTGGTTTTCGCATGAGAAGCTAATTGGCTGCAACCCTACCATGGATTATCTGAGGAAGAAAGGCTGCATCATTATGGATGGGTTCTCCCTGTGCCTAAAATATCACAACTCCTCTATCATCTTTTAATAAGCCATTGTGGGAGACGGATATAAGATTCAACAATCGATTTATTGGACCTTCAGTTAGATGGTGAGTAGATCTCTTGGCTGAATTTAAAGATTGGAATGGAATTCATATAAACAAATCCGAAAAGAAGATCATCTCTCTTACCCATCTGGCATTTTTTGCCTATTTGGGGTGGGGAGAGAGATTTTTAGGGCCCTTGTTCTGAAGTTGGCATATTTAAAGACGTACGGCTCAAAACCTTGCAAAGTTTGTTCAGGGATCATTCTCTCTTAAAAGAAGACAATCTCAAATACTTTATCAGTGTTTTTTTTCCCTTTAACCACCCAAAGCAGCACCATAATTCTTAAACACGTATTTCATCTCAATTTTTCTTACATTAACTGGTATCTGAGTGAATTTTTTACTCAAATGTGTATATCATCTCTAGGGGGATCTATTAGATCCTTCTACAACCACCTGACAAAAAGAGAGGTCACAAGTAGAGGCTTTCCATCCAAGCAAATTTGGAAGGTTAATGCATGCCCAGATTGTCTTTTTTGCATGGGAGGCAGTTAAAGGGTGCATTCTAACTCTGGGTAAGCTGATTAGGAGGGGAAGGATTCTGGCGAGCTGTTACTTGTGCAAAAGGGACGCGTAGTTGTGCAACTATATTCTATTGTGGTGTCCCTTTGTCTACAGACTTGAGACCCTTGCTTATGGCATCTTGGGCATTAATTGGGTGATGACTGTCTCCGTTAGGAAGGAGATTTGGGCATGGAAAGGAATCAACGGTGTGAAGAAGCACATTAGCCTTATTCCCCTTGCCACCTTTTGGGTGGTACAAAAGGAAAGAAATATGAGAGCTTTTGAGGGCAAGGAAGTGCGTTTTAATAGTGTTAAGGATATTTGGTTCCAAAACCTAGGTTTATTTATTAAGAGTCATCTTCTTACTCTTTTGAGGATCTTGGGGGATCTTATTAACATTTTGATTAATATGTAAATATTTTTTATATTGGGTTTGCACCCACTTGATGCTTATAAATGAATCTCACTATATTTTTTATTTTGAGAAAGCCAGACTTGAGAAGTTTATGGTGATTACTTTTTTCCCTAGTTTTGATAGATTAATTATGGAAGATTGTGGATCTTTGGCTTGCAGCACCTATACTCGTGCATAAAAATTTTCTGGACATTAATGCATGATAAAGAGGAAATCTAAATTATGTGTGGAAGTTAGAGTAAATATTTCTTTGCGAGCAGCTTCTCAGCACAAACATCAGATAGTAGATATAAAAAATCAGTCAAAACAAAATTGATCAATATATATGCTTTAGGGATGAGAACTAAAAAAAAAACTGCAACAACACGTAAACTTCAAGAACAGACCTGGTGAATAGGAGGGTACATTAGATTTGTGCACACGGGACACTCAAGCAGCTCATACACACCATTGTTTGAATGAAGTCCAGCTTTCCCAGCAATACTAACAGCTGGTTTTGCAGGTGTGCTATTAGTCTCAGTTTTTGCCATTGAAATGTCATAATCTGCAACAGCCGGATGAGATTCAAGAACTTCTTTGCAAGCACTACCTCCAGGAGCCATAATGATCCAGATCTAAAGAAATATTAACTCAATTACTACAACTTGGTGGTTTTAGCATCTGTATCACTGTTCACTGGTAATTGGCCTGTAACAGAGATGAACACTGAGAGTTAGATTTTATTTTTAAATCTAATCAGGATTCCAGCCAAAAGGGAAGAAATAGCAGCAATCTAGGCATAACATTTTTATTGCAAGTAAATAAATAAAATATGGTACTTAAACACTTGCACAATACTACTTTGGGAAGCAGCCATTGACTGAACCCAATTAGAGAATTTAAGCTTTTTATTCAATACTTGCGAATCCTCACATGTTTATGCTGCATCCAACCATTAAGGATAAAAGATTACTGTTCCAAATTCAAATAAAATTTGTGCCCTTTCAAAGGCATTGTTAAAAGCAGCAGAATAAAAGATATGGGGTGGCAATAGATTTCTAAAACTAACCAAGGAACTTCTACCTAAAGGAAACCTAGCCAAGGAACTGCATCTAGATTGAAACATACATTCTTGTAAATTGAACGATAAACCAAGTTCGTAAAAGATGAATACGGACTGCTACTAAAACAACTATGAATTGTTAAATGCTAATAAAGGATCTCAATTTTACATGCGACTGAGAAAGCAAAACATCAGCAGAGGCGAAGACACAACATGTGCTGTTTTCTAATGCCAAATTTTATCATACAAATATATAACAAATTCAGGCCATATGCAATAAGACTGCACAACAAATATCAGGAATAATTTCTTAAGCCCAGATTTAAAAGCATCAGTCACAGCCAAAATGAAGAAAAATCATGCATAAAGAAAATTGGTTCACTGACAAAACAATTGGCACCACGAAATATAAAGAAGAAAAGCCAGCTTAGATCACAATCGTAAAATGAATGCTAATTGCCTAAGACACCTTACGTTTAAGATTAATTTCTTTCCCTATGTGCCTGACTGCTAAATCTCCTACATCTTTGAGCAAGTAAGGAAATTGAGAAACCATCAACCAACATAAAAAGCGAGTATGACTAAAACGGAATGCGGTTAAAGAAGAAGCCCAAACTGCATTTCGTATTGCTCAATTAATTACCATTTCCAATGATATGGGACTGAACCATCCACGAACTACCTTATATACGCATATCAACTAGCAGCTAATCAACACAGAGGAGGATTATGGTCAACACAAACAGCCATTTCAAAATCGCAACCAAGTTATCGTCTCCCAATCAAATATAAAGCACAGAGATGTCAATCAAAGGACCAAGAAATGAGACAAGCAACACCGAAACAAAACAAAACAAAACCCATTCCCAAGCTCCAACAAATGTTTCCTCCTTCCAAAACAAACTTAAAAACTAGGTTTCACCAAACGCGGCATCTGGCATTCGAGGTTCACCGTCAAAAAATCAAACACGAGCAGCACCGAGACAACACAAAAACGAGGCAAAACAAAAAAAAAACAAAAACATTCCTAGTTTCCAGCGCAGATATCCTTCTTCTTTTCCACCAATCAAAAGAAAAACAAGGTGAAAAGAAAAGAACAAAGACAATAAAAGATAGCATAGACAGAAAAGAAAACACGGAGAGATACCTAGTTTTGAGATTTCCAAGCCTAGTGTCCTCAGATACAATCAAATCAACGCCATAATCTCTAGGTTCTGCAACAAATTCTGATTCGACAACAAAATATAAAAATAGGTTAGGGAAGAAGAAATTAAAGGTGTAAACAAACAAAAATCGCACACGAGCTCCTGAACTTACGCGAGTTAGCAGGATATGAAAATTGAAAAGAAAATGGCGTCTTCTTATACCGGTGGAGACCATGAATGGTCTTGGTTGTCTCTATGCGAATTTGCTAATACATATCAGAATACACGAACGTGAGCTTTTATTTTATTTATTTATTTATTTTTTTTAATTATTACCTTATTTAGTTCCTATTATTTGGTCATGAGTAGACCAATCTGCCCCTTCCCGCACGCTGCGTTTTAAATTTTTTCATAATATATTTTTTTCAAAAATAAAAAATTTGTTTTATTTTTTTAATTAATTATTACAGAAATTATTTTCTTTTCAAAACTAAATAAAATATTTTATTTTATATTATTATGTATTTTATATTTTATAATCCACACAACAAGTTGTAGAAACATACTTAAAATACACACACACACACACACACACACACACACATATGTATACACACGCACACGTGCGAAAATGTGTGTGTTTTTTTGGTCGTGTAGGACTTATCCTTATATTGAATTGGGACGAATCATACATTTTTCCAATCAACATAATAACTCTGAGGACAAAAAATATTAAATATATTATATCACGAAGTTATTTATTATAAATTGACTCGTAATTTTTTTATTATAATTTAGTTTATAATATTTATGTTTTATTTATATATATATATATATAAAAGCCAAATATGCCGGCAACCTTATTTATTATTTCTTTTAAAAAAGAAAAAAGTATAATTACTGTTGTAATTTCTTTATAGCTTAATATAGTGTACAAGCCAAATTTAATATAATTATATAATTATAAATTCCACCTTTTTTTTAAATTTAAAAAAAAAAAAAAAAAAAAAAAAAAAGTGGTCCTGCTCAGGGTCACCTACCCTATACGTGGGAGGGTCAGAGTCCACCTATATCTATATATATACATATATATATATATATAGTACCATTTCATATTTTTTAATTATTGCTTTTAATCATTTAACAATTATATTTTTCTCCTTATTATTTTTATTTAAAATTATATATATTTTTTTCCAATTTAGACAAAGTCAAGCCACTAAATCTAATTTAAAATTTTTAAAAATGTTTATAATATATAAAAATAATATCATGCCTCTCCATTTATATTATGCATTTGCTACTCGTGGGATACAAACAAATTTACATGGTCGTATGTGCCTTCTTCTCTGTCATCATATCCGACACCATATCCACAATAGGTATGGTATACCTTTCGCGTGCATGTACATGTGCATGTACATACATACATACATATATATATGCGTACATGTATATGTTATAACATGGGTATGTATGCATGTATTTGTCTTACGACCACATTTTTAAGACTCATCAAGATATTAATTTTTGAATGGTATTTTTTAAAAAAAAAAAATTTAATTAGGTCCAAACCATCATATAATTTATTATATATTATATTTAATAAAAAATAATTGAAAAATCAATTATAAAAAGATTAAAGAACAAGACACAAACCAAAAGGCAGAGAAGGTCCAAAACTCTGGCTTTGTCCCCAAAAAACTTCTTATAAAAATTTCACAGACATGAACACCCTAAATATAAAAAGACAAGGTTTTGACAAATGATTTATGCCTTTCCAACCAAAATCTCTGCATCTCCATGGTGATTTGAGGTGGTATTGTACTCTCACTTTTTAACACAAAGCAAACTATACACACACACACACACACAATTGTACTAATTTCATGACCGCAACTTACACCCATAAGATAATTTGAATGAACAATATACAAGCAGTTCTATACTAATCTTAAGCCTTCAACTTAGACCTATATGATAATATATCTCAGTTATTCATATTGCGACAGCAGGATTCCTCAATTACCAGACTAAATGGAAATGTATTCGAAAAGAAATGTCAAGAAAACTATTAATTTCTTTGTAACGTAGACAAAAGGAACCGTGCGTGCTGAATACTAGACCTAGAAAATGAGTAGGAAAAGTCGTTGTAACTTCTTAAAACTTCATATTCCACCTTGACCGCTGTAAATTTAAATAATCGAGACTATATTGTTACGAATAAGTTGTTGAAGGAGTAAAATAAATACTATCATGCCTATCATAAACAAAGCAATAGCACATATGAAAAGCTTGCAATACATTTGGACAGGAAATTGATGGTTCAGTAGTATGCACCCTTACTATCTACGAATCAGAGGAACACTCTGTGACTTTTAGGAAGTATCACAACATTTTACTACCGATAACATCATTGACTTTTTCTATTCGCTACATGCAGATTCTAGTATCCCATCAAAACAATATGCAGTAAACCAGTCTTGATTTTAAGAACAAAGTTTGTGATTGAAAATCTTTTTGATACTCTAATCTTACGTAAGAAATGTATGTAAGTTTCAAAAACTTCATATAATAGCTAACGCTCATTACTAATAACATGAACTTAAATTTTTAAAGCTAGTGGTCGAGGTCTTAAATTTATTGATGAGTGGTGTTTGGGTGAGTACTAGAGCATGTACTAACCTGTACACTGCACCATTGCTCTTTTGGATCTTGCAAGGTTTTTGATTGTGATATTTTTATTATTTTTTGTGATTGTGATATTTGTAATCTTGATGAGGATGTCAAAGATTTAAGCAGTGGAGATTATTATATTTCAATCGAATATTGAAAATGTTTGTGATTGTTAAGTTCCATATAATAACTCAAAGCACTCGCCACCAATAATTTGAACTTGATATTTTGAAATTTAACTCAAATACAACTATGTGAACATGCAAGCAAGCAGCGAAAACCAACATCAAAAGCAAAATTCTACCTGTATACAACATCTACTTGCCCCTCCTCCTCCCTTAACAAAGAACTCAAATCTTTCTTGACCTTTCTAAAGTTGTACCGATGTTGCTGTTTGCTTCATGACTCACCACAGATTTTGTTATTCCTTTTCCTTTTACGGAATTTCCTGTGAAAACACAAAATGCCATTTAATCATAATTCATTAGCGAGAGTTTGCAGTTCCTTAAAAACCATTCTTAGCATAACCTTCAATGTAACAATTAATCTATGTCAAGGTAACGTTCAAGTCCCACCTCTATGTCTCTGTCACTCTCATCTTGGATCTCACCTTCAAGGCCTCCATCCACCATGCTCAAAATTCTTCCACTTTGCTCTGCAATTTTAACCTTTGCCTCCTCTTCAGCATTGTAATAGTCAAGCGTCAGCACCATCGACAATGCAAAAAGATCACTAGCAATGTCTAGTTGTTAAGTTCCCTCTCCTGCAGTCATGTTGCAATGAAAAGATTCTTGCATCCTCCAAATCCAATGAGCCAGTTCACTCCAAGAAGCTAAATTCACATCGCAAAAAACTTCCTCACTCGAAAAAGAAGAGCTTCAATGAAAATCTTGATAGTGGGAAATAATCTACTAGATTTAACACCAAAATTACATATATCAAAACGGTATATGTAGATAAAATAAGGAAAATCATAATTTTCCAGAACATATTTAATGAAGACCAATGTGTTCTTTTTTTTTTTTCAGAATCTCTCTAACTTACTTCTGCAAAGCCAGTAGCACTGAGCATCTTCATCACTGTCTTCATCCTCATTATCATCACCACTATCCTCCTGATACAGTAAAAGTAATGAATTACAAACATTGATGTGGGGGAAAAGCATTTAAATAGCAAAAGGAATCAAAATACAACCCAATACTTTGACATTTACTATAGTAAAAAAGGGGAAAATCATCAGTATTTGTTCAGATGTAAATAGAAGAAAGATTCTCAAATTTGGTTAAAGATCAAGCGATGAGAATGACACTCGAAAGGATACTTAAATTTCCAATCAACCATTTACACGAAAAGCCAACTCAATACATGCTCCTTTTTAGTAACGCTATATGAATATTTCCAGATTCCAACCATCTTAACCCTTGAACATTCAAATTCTTTTACGTTTAAATCCCTCCTACAACATGCAATTTTAAGAACAGAAAGGAAGAAAAAAGAAGCCTAAAAATTTCCAGTAATGCATATTAATTCCACAATTCGAACCTTCCATGTTGTAGAAGTTCAAGAAAATAGAATCATATCAGTAATATATCGATCAACCGAGGCATGTGGAGATTACAAATTGACAGTAGCAACATCAAGTAAGGGTAACATAAACCTCCAAATCAAAAACTGGCTGCTAATCATCTTCATCTGAATCCCCAAAATCACAACTAATATCCAATAAGGCAGTGTCCATTTGCTTCTCTAATCTTTGCAGGCGTCCGTCGCGCGTGCTTGCCTCTGATTTGGCGGTAACTCTTGTCGTCTTCCTCCGTCATGTTGTCTCCTCTGATCCTCTACTGTTTTCTATCTGTGTTTCGTTGTTCATCAGACAGTTTAAGGCAAAACGGCGGCGTTTTATAACAAAATATAGCCAAGTATTTAAAATTAAATTAAATGATGAAATAAAATTATATTCTTTTGTCTATAGAAATTGTTTAGGCAATTAATTTCAACGCTTTAATATGTACGGTGATCTGAGCGCTCATACAGAAGTCTCACCCTCTGAGTATCACACTGAAGCTAGTCCCCTGCAACGAAATTGACCCGACAAAGCTTGCAGGATCCAATTCGCATTCGCTCGCCACAAACACAACATCGTCATCATCCGAGTAACGAAAAACCTGCTTGACCATGGTCGAGTAGAATCTTTTTTTCTCTGAGACGATTTTCAAGTAAATCTTGATTCAGTTCGAATAACATCTCTGTTTCATACGATGCTTAAAGCTGTACAGATTCTCGGTTCATCTTCTGGGCTTATTCCACTAAGATTGAAGAAGCCGCACAACGCCGGCGGTGGTCTTTCTTTCATCTCTGTTTCTCCCAAACCGGTGTCTCCGCTATCTTGTTCCGGGAGCAAGAAAATCTCAAATTCTGTGCTCTTGCGTGCCTTTTCTATTCGGAGAACTCGTTTTAGATCGATTCGAATGTACGCGACTAGGGCCGACTCAGAACCAGATGGCAGTTCTCCTTCTACATCTTCTTCTACATCGTCCCTTGTGGGTCAGTCAACTGTGAGTGCTTTTTTGTTGCTCAGACACCTAAAGATCAATAGATACTGTTTCAATTTTCTCCTCTGTCTATATTCTTTTCTGGAATGTGAATTGATAATGCGGGAAAATGAGAATTCATTTTTAGCGGTGTTAATGATTTTTACTCTGCTATTGCATTGTTGTCTTGGTTAGATTTTAGGTAATTCGTGTTTCAATTGCTGGTTTGTTTGGTTATGAGTATCTTCATTGTGGGAATTTTCTGTTCTTAGGCTATGGTTGGGAAGATGAATTTTATATATGGAGTTCATTGGAAAATTCAGGTTTAAAGGTTGAGATTCCTGATAAAATGATAAAACTTAAGTCATTAGAATCAATACAGTTCAAATTCAGTTTATTGAATATTTCCTCTATAATAATGTAGAACTTCCTCTATTCGAATTGTGGTCAATTCCATGCATAGCTTTTACGGCGAAGGTAGTAAGACAGATCAGCTTCAAAAAGAAATAGTATGCCACATATTTTGTGGTTAGTTTGTCCGGAGAAAATGATTTTTCTGACATATAACTTATTTTGAGTTGATTAAGCCACAATTATTTGCAGGAAATTGTTCGTAAGATCAAATTCTGTCAGTGGTGTGGCGGTCCAACGAAGCATGAGATACCAGACGGAGAGGAGAAGATGAGAGCTATCTGCATGCATTGTGGGAAAATTGCATATCAAAACCCTAAAATGGTATAGTTTTTGAGATGGGGCTTCTGTTTTTTTGCTTCTGTTGCATATTTCAACCTGAACATAGTTGGGACAATTTTTTAATCTTTGGATGAGTCATCTATGCTGCATGTTGCTACTGAAATAAAGCCGAAAGGCCTTTGAACTTTGAATAGCATAAAATAGCTTTTGCTTTTGGAAAAAACAACTTCAATTTGCCAAAACCATCTTATTTTATTTAGATTGCTTGTTTTCGATGTTGACCAAGTTATATAAATATAAAGTACAAGCAAATTGGTTTATATGATTTTCCAGCGTGATGTCCTGAAACCTTATGGCTTCCTAGAGAACAATAAACAAATTTTTAGTTGCTTTCAGAATATGATTCGGACATACTCGATGTGTGCATGCATCCCCACACCACACACACTCACGCACAACAAACATGCATACATGCATCGACATATATTTATATTTGTACTATATGCATTTAACTATATGTACATACAAATATCTGAACATAGAAAACTAAAAGATAGAGGTTAATGTTGCTACTTCGTCCATGTTAGTATGAAGGGAATGTTGCATGTGGACAATGCCAAAGATAGGAACTAGATGGTAACAAAAACATGAACGATTTTCATTTTCTTATATTTCATATTTATGGAAAAGAAAATGCTGATCTATAATAAAGATAAAAAAGGCTGACCAGGCTTTGGGTTAACTTCATTTGATTTCCGAAAATCACTATCGTTTATATTATTTCCTCTTTTCCTCTGTAAGCTATTTTTGGCAGAGAAAAGCTCATGCTGGCATTGAACTTTTGATGTCATGGCATGTCTTGGTTTTCTCATTTCTATGAGATCCTTGTATTTCAAGAGTGAATTTATCACAAATGTGATTTAATTTTACTCAGATTTTCTTAAATGGTACTTCTAGGTTGTTGGCTGCCTTATCGAGCATGAGAAAAAAGTTCTACTCTGTAAGCGTAACATTCAACCATCTCATGGTCTATGGTACGTGCTTGCAGAAACTGTGAAATATGCGTTATCATTCGGTAGTTCTAAATATGATTGTTTAATGTATATTTCATACTGGCTTCAAAAATTTATAGATAACGGGTAGTATTGACATAGGACTCTTCCTGCTGGTTACATGGAAATGGGAGAGTCAGCTGCTGAAGGAGCAATTAGGGAGACTTGGGAAGAGGCAGGTGCTGAAGTGGAAGTTTTGTCACCTTTTGCACAATTGGACATCCCTCTTATTGGACAAGTAAGAAAAAAGTGTCATTGCATTAATCAGACATTGTGTTCTGTGAACAAATTAAAATATGTTGTCTTTATGGCTTATTTTGAGCAGACTTACCTTATATTCTTAGCAAAGTTGAAGAAGCCACACTTCTCACCAGGTCCAGAATCATTAGAGTGTCGTCTTTTTTCGCTGGATGATATACCTTTTAATTCTCTGGCATTTTCATCAATTTTTGTTACATTAAATTTGGTAAGGACTTAATGTGAATAACACAAATTTTCTTCATTTGGATATTTTTGTGGTAATATCTCATGTCTTCTCCCTTTCCTGCTGCAGTATGTTGAAGATGTTAAAAATGGAAAAGTGAAGTTTCACTATGGTGTTATCAATAAAAGGTGTACTTCTGTTTTTCATCATTTGAAACATAATATTTCCAAGAATTGTTGCAGCAGATGAGAATAGTTGTTGGCTATTAGCATGTGAAAGGAGCACAACTTTTTAGATCAAGCTCTTAGTAGTGACAGTGAGGGCTTCAGTTTTTGAATAGTTCAAATCTCCCCATCTAGAAATATATTTTGGATTCAGAATGGGGTGCTGATTGTGGTGGCTTGATGAAACTGGTGGTTATGCTTTTGTGTGTGTCAGGCATCTGGTGCAGAGATGCTTATTTGTTATAAAGGACTTTATGGAGGAGCACACTGTCGGTTGTCCCCCTCCTCCTAATCCTAATTGCCTTTTCTGCTGATATGACATGGCTAAAATGATCTATAGTCTATATTTGGAGAAAATGATTTTTATTTGTGGACTTTCATTTTGAAATCTAATCATAGTTGATGAGAATTCCTTTCAAATTGATAAAAATTAATATCTTAGACAGGAGTTAGATAATGTATTTCAAATTGAATTTAGAAATGGTAAAACTTTAAATACATTGTCTGATTCACTTGAATTTGTCTTGGACAGAAATTTTATTATTTTAGGAAGAATTTTCATTTATTTGTAATTTCGATGAATTAAGCTCATTCGTTCTAAATATAGCAATGTAAATTTCCGAAGGGTAGAGAAGGCTCATGTAATTGAATTGAATGCTTTGGCCATTTGGATTCATATAAGAAATACCATCTGCATTGTAAATCTGCTGTTGATCTCATGCAGGTCTGTGTTCAATTAGTTGCAATAAAATTGGGATGAGCTGGCTGGATGTACTACCAGCTAATCACTTTAGT